CGAACCCTGATGCAATGAGATGTAACTCTGGATTTCCCTGGGGCCTGTCAGTTCGCAGATGACATCCCAAGGCTGTTGCCCTTTCCCGAACTCCACACTAGGGGGCATATGGCTTACCTTCAACTGTCAACAGTATAGGAGGCAGAGCATGCCATAAGAGCACACTCACAGAGGCCTGAAGTGTCCAGCAATTCAGTGGAGATGTCCGTATTGCTGCACTCTTCTTTGGGTGTCTTTTGTTTTTTCTTTCCCCCTAGAGAAACTCCAAGTAGCACTTTTTCACAAATAAGTGAAAACATTTATGCCAATTGAAGCCGCTTTTCGCTGGACAGCCATCCATGCAAAACGGGTCCCATGCGAAGCTCATTTTGCCTAGATGAATTTTCCAGTGAAACACCTCCCCGGCATCACGCCATTCGTGGCAGCATGCACGCCATGTCTCTGAAAAAGTGCTGGAAAACGTACTGGTGGTTTAATCCAGTCTTCTTTGCTAGTGGGACCTCCCCTCGCTTAATCCAATTTTCAAAGGGCTGCTCTATACCTCTGCCTACTCGGGGGGCACAGTTGTCTTATGAGCACCCAACATGCACCACTGATGAGTCCAAGCCATAGGTGTGGTTTTCATGCAATCGTGTCTGGTTGGGTGCAAGAACAGGTGGAGTATCGTCATCCTTGAAACCAGCCCGCGATGTGGAATCCGGTGGAAATTGGGATTGTGTCATCTACGATTGATGCACCTGGCGCGTCAAACTTGGCCAACCATAAAAAAGAAGCCTGTAGGATGAATCTGCCTGCTGCAGGAAGTGGACAACATAAAGTGGGTGTGTAGCGTGGCATGAGCATCATGCAGGGATGGTGAACAAGCTGCCGACCCCTCATGCTTTAGCAGGATGTCACCTGCCGCATTAGGGGGAAACACACTCCCAGCAGACCTCCCAAAAGACAATGCCGGATGGTGTAACCCGTTGTGAACTTGCTGGGCGAGATCGGGATAGAAAGGGAAAGGGAGGTAGACGATGCCCTGCGAACATGTTGGGTGAAATTGGGATGGAAGGGGAGTTATGATCTCAATGTTCTCAAATGTTCTCAATGATCTGTACGATTCGATATGGGATGCTGGGCCCGGTTCCCAGCACATGCTGCTCCCCACGAATAGACTGGAGCATTTGTTTTTGAAAAAAAAAAAAAAAGGAAGGGAATTAGAAGATGCCCCAGCGGAAAAAAAAAGAAAAAAAGAAAAAAAAAAAGAAGATGCCCCAGCGGGCGAGTGAACTTGTTGGGCAAGATCGGGATGGAAAGGGAAGGGGTGGTAGAGAATGCCCTGCAAACGTTTTCGGCAAAGGGGAGGTGGAAGATGCCTTGTGAATGTGTTGGGCAAGGTTGGGAAGAAAAGGGAAGGGGAGGTAGAAGAAGCCCCTGAGCGAGGACGTGCAGATGGGGCAGGTGAAGTGGGCGAGCGGGTATCCATTTCGGCTGTGGACGTACCTTGCAACAGCGCAGTGCTGTGAGCTTGCAGCTGTGTATACGGCGACTGCACATGCGCATATTCTCCCTGGTGATGTTGTCAATCACCTTTAGATGCACCGGGTGTGCTTGCAGCACTGCTTGTGGTCCAAACAGTTGGATCATGCGCTTGACGGTGTGCTTGCAGCATAGGACGTGCTTGCAGTGTAACTCCTGGTGATGGCGTGCTTGCAGCGCTGCTCGAGTTTCAAAGCGGTGTTCCTGGTACTTGGAATGGTGGATTTGCACTACCTGTTTGCACTACGTGCCGATCTTTGCCAAACCTGGTGCATTTTCCCCCCTTCTTGGATGGCGCCAAGAGCAATTGTGGTCTGGTAGCCTGGAGCCCCCGAAAAAAGGCTAATTCTTTTAAGCCACCAGTATATTGCCCATGCATAGGCCAAGGGCCCCTGACCGCGACTTTCGGAGGCCGGAAATGGCCGCTGATGAAATTTATCAACAGCAGCGGCCGACCTGTGCCTCCCCTCTGGTCCCCAGCCCCTACGAACGTCAGCAGTCTTGCGCAATGCGGCTGGGGCGGCTGGACGTCCTATCTCTAGGTGGTGGGAAACAAGCTTGCCGAGGAAGCTACGTTAGGCCAATGGGGATCGGACGCAAGACCTCCCCTCCTGAATGCCACTTGCGTGCCTTACCAACCGAACTACCGGTAGGCCGCTGGATGATGATTTCTATTCCCAATTTCGCTTCGCCGATGTGCTGGCCGTTCAGGGAAACTCTCCACTTTGAGTCTGTGGATCACAAGCCCTACTCCGGTAGTAGGCAGTAGGCTTGCTAGGGTCCCCTGTGGACTCTGTCCCACTGAAGAGAACCACGGGTCTCTGGGGCCGTAGCTCCCCGGAGCGTACTTCGCTCTCAGAAGCGGAGCAATAGCAGGACAGGCGGGGGGCTAGGTCCCACTTGCACGAATTAAGAGATACTGACCGTAGATCGCAAAGATCAACGGCCGAAATCTCCTAATCCGCGCAAGTGGGACCTTGCCCCGGGATAGAGGGACAAGCGGGCCCGCGCCACCGACAGCGGAAGAACGGTACGGAGACCAGAAGTTACCGTTGACGTCATCTTTGCCATAGCGACCACTACGTACCGTAGTAGGGAGGCCCAGCCGTAATCCGGCCGGACGAGAGGTGTAGGACGTACACCTCCTGTGTGGGCGGGTGAATGGTAAGAACAACTATGGAACTGTTGATACGTTGGGAGCTCAAATCATGGGACCATGCGCCCTTCAACGATGAATCGGACCCCATGTAGATGGGATAGACAAGTCCCTCATCCACCAGCCAGCCAGCCATCGCCGGCAAGTCTGATTCCTATGTCATCGCCGTCGTCGTCTCCATCGCCATCGCCGACGACGGCCATCGCCGTTGCCGTTCCCTCCGCCATAGCCATATCCTTGTCGTGAACGGAAGTGGTAAGTCATTCTCCTCTCCTCTCCGTCGCTTCTCTTCGCTGTTCCCGTCCCGCTGTTGGTGGTTGCCGTCTTCCTTCACTTTGTCGCCTTGCTTTCCCCTGCTTCCCCCCTGCTCCCTCACGCTGCTCCTCTTCCTCCTCTTCCTCCTCTTCCTCCTCTTCCTCCTCTTCCTCCTCTTCCTCCTCTTCTTCTTCTTCCTGCTCGTCCTCCTCTTCTTCTTCTTCTTCTATTACTACTACTACTACTACTATTAGTGAAATCGCCGCACGGCGCGGCATGTGTAAACGGGGGACGTATCTTTCCCGACAACGTGGCAAAATGCACCTAGCGTTTTTTTTTTTTTCTTTTTTTTTTCTTTTTTTTTTCTTTTTTCTTTTTGACAATTCGGTGAGTGGTTCGACGAAGCCCTATGTGCGGCGAAGCCCCATGTCTTCATCACTCGGTCGTTCCTTGGGTCTGTCTTTCGTTGCCGCGGCCACAGCGCGCCGCATTCTGGCTTTATGGGTGCCGTTTCGACCATATTCCATATTCCTCCTCTTCTGCTGCATATTGGAATAAACGAAAGAAGGAAAAACGAAAGAAGGAAAAACGTCCTTGTGCGGGACATCCGTTAAAATTGGAACGATACAGAGAAAGAAGATTAGCATGGCCCCTGCGCAAGGATGACACGCATAAATCGAGAAATGGTCCAAATTAAAAAAAAAAAAAAAAAAAAAGGAAAAACGAAAGAAGGAAAAATGGCCCGATATAATCACGCCGTTCTCTTCTTCCTTCGCTTTCGAACATTCCCATTAAATTCCCATCCGTTGGAATTTTTTTCATCCACGTCACCAGGATTTTCTTTTTGACAAATCAGTGATGGATATTATCGTCGGCGTAGGTAGTACATAATATTATATATATGTATATATATTTATATCCCAACAAATTAAGCTTCGCATCTCCCTACTCTCTCTCTCTCGCCCCCCCCCCCCCCCCCCCCCCCCCCCCCCCCCCCCTTCCGTTTTCCAATTCCTACCCCCGGGCGAGGTCCCACGTACACGGATTCTGCGTTTCTGACCGTAGATTGAGAAGATCGTTGGCGCCGCTTCTACTGTGATTTCTTTGCGGCCGCCGTCTTGTCATTCATCCTCATCCTCTCTCTCTCTCTCTCTCTCTCTCTCTCCCCGCTTTCTCGTTTCATGTTTCCCGAAACGGGCGCAGTTCCCCTTCCTGCTTCTCCTCCTCCTCTTCTTCCTGCTGCTGCTGCTGCTGCTCCTCCATCCTCATCCTCCTCCTTCATCCCGGTACTCTTCCTTCTTCACTACTGCGTCATACTGCTCAGACCTTTTCGTCCGCCTATATATACACAATATATATATATTTGTATTTGTTGGGATCTTGAACCCCCCCTGTCTATCATTTTTGTTGTTGTGGAGATTTGGAAAACCCTCTGTCAGTTCCGTTTCGGTCGGTTTCTCCACTGCACTTTAAAAACGACTGCTTTTCGGATTGACAAAAACAGAGCCGAGTTTGGACATCATTGAAATTCTCTTTGAACACCTTTCTCGGCCTTTTGGCGAAGTAAGATCAATTGTAGTATTTCTTCTGGTCAGTTTTCAAAATCTGATCCGTGGTCCATCGGGCCACATACAGCAAAAAAAGTTTGCCGTTGAGATTTTGAAAATCCTCTTGTATGTATCCACTTTTTTTCAGTCGCATTTCTAACTGAAAATTTCGTAAATGATTTGTTTTTCGTAAATGAACATCACTGAACCAAGTCCTGCGAAATTTATGTGCTCTGGTTCTTTAAAAAAAAAAAAAATAATAAAATAAAAAATTATGTGCTCTGCTAAACGCAGTTTCTCTGTCTCTTTCTCTTTCTCTGTCTCTGTCTCTGTCTGTCTCTTTCTCTTTCTCTTTCGCTGTCTCTGTCTGTCTCTTTCTCTGTCTCTCATGTTCCTTGCCATCTCCTCCCCATACGGCTTCCTCTCTGTGCCCTCAATGTGCAGGAGTCTGAGCTAGTCGACTGCGGCACTCGTTCCTTGACGCAGGACTCACATACGCGAGCGAGCGAGCGAGCGAGCGAGCGAGCGAGAGAGAGAGAGAGAGAGAGAGAGAGAGAGAGNGAGAGAGAGAGAGAGAGAGAGAGAGAGAGAGAGAGAGAGAGAGAGAGAGAGAGAGAGGAGGAGGAGGAGGAGGAGGAGGAGGAGGATGGAGTGCATTGGCTGCAGAGAGTCGTGGCTGGGCGGTTTCACGGCCAACTTGGAATTAGACTTCTCGTCCTCGTCGTCCTGCTCTCAGAGGTCTGCATGTAGGGAATTGGACGGCCGGATCCTATTCAGGAGTCGGAAATTGGGAAGGATAGGGTATGGGGGCTATGGTGGATTTTGTCTTCGTCGCTGGAAGTTGTCGTCTTCTTCCTCGCTTGCGGCTATGGGCGAAAGAAGCTGGGAGAATCGGCGACGGTCTCCTGCAAGGCACTATATGGGGGGAAGAAGACGAGAATGGGAGGATGGAGATGGTGGAGATGTAAGGGAGAGGGAGCGGATAGAATGGCCCATGCACGTGGATCGAATCTCCAGTGTGACCAATCACTTTGTGCGGCAATGTGTGCGACTTCGACAGAGCAGGAGCTACAGGAATGAACGAGGGGTAGTACTTGTGGTCGGCCGCATTCCCCTAAGGTCAGCCAGTCAGTCACTATACACGGGGCCGTCAGTCTCTGCTTCATTTCTGTTAGACGTCATTATATTATTGTATAATTTATTATATTATTATTAGTGCTTTTTTTTTTTTTTTTTTTTTTTTAAGTAATCTATATTCTTCTTTCAATTTAAAACTTTTGAAAGTCATCTTGTTTTATGTGGATCCGAACTCAGGTCTGTTATTTCAGACCAGGTTCATGGGTGTACCGACTGAGCTAGGCCTGTTGGTCATTTCAAAACTTTGTCAGTTGCTAAGGAACGATACAGAGAAGATGAGCATGGCCCCTGCGCAAGGATGACACGCATAAGTCGAGAAATGGTCCCAAACAGGGTCCCAAAAGTGTCCCAAAAAGGTCCCAAAAGGGTCCCAAAAGGGTCCCAAAAGGGTCCCAAAAGGGTTCCAAAAGGCAAAAACAAAAAGCTTTATAAATAAAGAAAATGTATCCACGAGGCCGGGAGCGAGGTGTGAGTACGAAAAAGAATTAGGGCCAGATCCCACTAGCTCCTATTGTTCATTTCTGACCGTTGATCTTCGTAATCGAGGGTCAAAAATGAATAATCCAGGGTAGTGGGATCTGACCCTTAGATTTGACACTTCAATGGGGGGGTGTTTGCCAAGAGGTGCAGAAAATATTGATTGCTCTGCTTTTCTGCATCTCTGCGTAAAACACATCCAGATTCAGGCGCATAATCCATTTCTCTATGCTAGTCGGACCTTGAATGGGGAGGTGTTTCCCAAGAAGAGCAAAAAATAGTGATTGATCTGCTTTTCTGCATCTCTGCATAAAGCACATCCAGATTCAGGTGCGTAATCTTGTCCTCTGTGCTACCCAGTGGGACCAGGCCCTGGGGACCTCACAATTCGGCTCGGGGTAGTGGGGCCATTTCCCAGCTCCGGCTTGAATTGCCGGAGATCAGATCCACCGTCTCACTGCAAAAGCAAAAGAGCGTCCTTTGGGACATCCGTTAAATTTGGAACCATACAGAGAAGATTAGCATGGCCTCTGTGCAAGGATGACACACAAAAATCAAGAAATGGTTCAAATTATATATATAAAAAAAGAGCAGCGTACTCAGTGATAATCATGGCACAACTTTGGACCTGGTCGTAAGGGTTAGGACTGACCAGATTCGTTGTCCAAATGTTTTTCCCTCTGCGATCTACACTGTTTGCTGGAGATGATGACAACATTAAAACCAGGGCCCAAGCGGGAGAAAGGAAAGCTAAAGACCTTGAGGACCTCGGGAAGATTGAGGAGTGAAATTCATCTGACTCGTGCTGAATCAGCAACCGTGCTCCTCAGTCTAGTTGATTTCCCATCCGTTGCACACGTGGTTAATAGGTGGTGTCATTTTCGCCGGATTTTTCACCGAAACTGCCATATTGCCTTGATTTTTTGCCTTTTGAAGAGAAGATGAAGGTTGCTGAAACCACTGCCGAGGTCATAACTGCTAGAAAGGGAATTACCTGCAGCTATATAACCCAAGCTTGTCCAGATCTCAGCAGTTGTCCGTCGATTTAGGCTCCTTCCCGTCTGCTGATTCACTATAAGAGAGAAGTCGAAACACACAAAGTTCGTTCAGATCTCAGCAGTTCTTTAGGAGAGTTGGGGTCTGCCATGAGGTAGGCCCTGCCGTGGGGGTGGCAGGATAGCATACTAGAGGGACGGATGGCTGCGTGCGCTGGAGTGCTATAGATTGGTAAAATCAGGGGGAGTGCCAGGAGACATGAAGCTTAGAGAGAGATGAGGGGCTTCATGAGAGCAGGAACAAAAAAGGAAAAAAAAAGGAAAAAAAAGAGAAATTGTGAGAAGTGGAAACACAATCATACCAACAAAAAGGGGGACACCAAGGAGGGCCTTTAGGCGAAAGGAGCAAGACCACCTCTTAGTATAATTTGATGATGAGATTAAGTAAAATGCCATTTTCGTAGCCAAGAAGGACAAAACAGTTTGCATGTGTTTCACCTTATCCCATTCGACTTGATTCTGGGCAGGGGGATTGGCATGAGGAAGCCGATCCAAATATCAAGTTTGAAGACAAAATTGCTAAACACAAAGGCAACTAAGAGGTGCTAAAGCCAATCAAACTGTTTCACAAATCTGGTATAAACTCTTCAGTGTTTTTTTTGTTGTATGAGCTTATCTGCCTTTCAAAGTTTTGTTGCCAAGAGTTGACATAGGAGGTTAGGATGGCTCTAGTGAAAGCTGTAGGTGAACGATCATCTCCTGTTCCACCTTCCATTGATAAACGTGTTGATAAGGAAGAACCTGCAAACTGAACCTACCAGAGTGATTGAAAGACCTATTGAGCATACCGTAAAGACAATACCTGGTACTAGGCTGGTAGCGAAATTCATAAGGGACCAATATATAGAATGGCACCTTGGTAGTCCTTCGGGTCATCTGTTAAAATTGGAACGATACAGAGAAGATTAGCATGGCCCCTGCACAAGGATGACACGCATAAATCGAGAAATGGTCCAAATTAAAAAAAAAAAAAAAAGAATGTCGCCTTGGGAAGTGGAAGAATTTGAAGGAGTCACAGGAACTTACTGAGAAAGGTTGGATCAGGCCGAGCTCTTCTCCTTATGGGCACCTGTCGTATTTGTGCCGAAGGAAGGCGAGCTTAGAGTTTGCGACGATTATCGAGGCTTGAATGCTGTTACCGTTATAAACGCAGAACCATGTGCTCCCACATCATCATGTGCTCCAACGGATCATCTGGGCCCTTCCCAATCATTGCCCATCTCCCACCAGAACCGCCACAATTGGGATTCCTCTCTCAAGTTGAACTCACAATTGAGACGTTACTCGAGCAAAGTGCTCTTCCTCCTGGTAGAAAGACAATTATGCTGACTCACACCCAATACAAGTCACCGACTGGAATATTTGATGACATCATTTGAAACTTGGTCAGACATGCTCACACACTCTGCCCGTCTACTTCAACAGCACTGCCCAGCTTCTCTCTCCCCAGTAGGTAAGCGCGCAACAGGAGACCACTCTGATTGCAAGGACGCCGCACTGGTGGGCATTCATATGGCGCCGAGACAATAACAAGAATGACAAAGTGATGATCACACCAGCACGAGAATGGACAATGCTGTAGTTTTTCAATGAAGAAAGCCCCCCTTCTCGCCTCCCAACCATAGATACAGCAACTTTGATCAGTTCTCAGCTCTCGCTGGTCTCACTGCCACGTCGAAGATCACTACTCTTATCCTATACCTAGTCCATCCTATGCAAATGTACAATGCCACAAAGTACAATGCTGCTTCCGCAGATGCCTGAAGACAGAATGTCCACACTGAAGCTCCTTTTGGTGACCACCCGGTGCGCCCCTCAGCACACCCTCTCCGTACGGTCTTCTTCCCAGGATCTACCTTCCATGCACCACCTCCACCTCCCAAGCACCCAGCCCATCTATGGCCGGCTATGGCTGCCTTCACTCTTGTCCACTGGCCAGGGGTCGTGCTGCTTACCAGGCACATGTGTACTTTAGCAGCCTAGCTCTGCCTGCAAATTAGCAAAAGTTCCCGGGACTGCCCCTCCCACTTCCGATTTGCCAGGCCGGGATCTGGGCAGACTGGTAGGCGCTGGCGTGTGGTACCTTCAGGAAGTGCCCACAGCCTGCCGGGATCCCTGTAATATATATGGTGCCCATTATAGTAGCATTCACACCGAAACATGGACACAAGAGCAACAGCAGCAAAACCACAGGCGTCAACATCATTGTCGCCGCCAACCCCGCCACCAACACCACCACCTACTCTCATATTCCCTGCTCCCAAAAAAATGCAAGAAAAAGATAGTACCTCAAGTGCTGCACGACCTTAAGAGCTGTTAGCCATCTTTGTGAAAGCCAGTTCTTTTTTTGGGGTGGGGGAAAACTGCAGCTGCCTGCCCGGTGGGAAGCTTTTTAATGGCAAACAAACTTCCCGTCAGCAGACAGGCCACAAAGTTGGTTTTCTAGGACCAAACCACGTAAGGTTGGCTGGAGCAGGTCCGAGGCTGGCGCAGCCTACAGAATGTGGTTCTGTCAGGTACTACGCAATGGCCCACCAGCCCTGCTGGTCCAAAAAACTGCGCATCAATCTGATGATCGTGCAGTGTGTGTGTGGCCGCATTCACACGTATGCGAACCTAATGTGCGTGAATGCGCGCGCAGTGCAGTGTGTGTGTGGGGAGAGAGAGAGAGAGAGAGAGAGAGAGAGAGAGAGAGAGAGAGAGAGAGAGAGAGAGAGAGAGAGAGAGAGAGAGAGAGAGNGAGAGAGAGAGAGAGAGAGAGAGAGAGAGAGAGAGAGAGAGAGAGAGAGAGAGAGAGGGGCACAGAGGGGGAAGGGCAAAGCGGAATGGAACCGAACCATGGCGTTCGGTTGGCCTGTTCCACACAAAGTGGACGGGGCGGCCAACAGCCTGTTTTCTGGCCAGGCAACCAACACGTTCGTTGCCTGGTACTGGGGCTGGACCATGTCAGGAGGCTGGACCAGTTTTGGACCTGGTCCTCCCTGCTTGACTGGGCCAGTGACAGCCCTGAACAAAATTGCCGATAAAACTGCACGGATGAACAGACTTGCTGGCTTGAGATTTTTTGCGTTTGAAACTCAGGCCGGCACAAATTTGCTGACCGGAAGTGTTTTTTTTCGGCCGTGGAAAACTGCATTTGGCAGTAGGCCTCTGTTGCCCCTTTTCCTTGCACTTCGATCCTGGCTCGTCTTTTTCGAGTAGAGCAGTCACTTGAGTTGTGTGTTGTCCCATGTGTGCATTGAGAGAGGATAGGTCCTTCGATGCCAATTATAGGCCGTTGCTCCACCTCTCACTGGATGCGAACATGGATCTTTCTGCTTCCTAGCTGAAGATAGGTGCACCGTTTACACATTTGGTGAATAGTGCAGCTAGGTGCATGTTCACAGTTTGCTTTGGTGGGACGACAGGGCAGGCTCGCTGGAATGGGATCCCAGAGATGACAACCAGGCCTTCCTGGAATGGGATCCCGGTTATGACAGCCATGCCTTGCTTGAATGGGATGGCTAGAATGGGATCTGAGCGATGACAGCAAGGTGTTGCTGGAAAGGGATCCCAGGACGGCCAGGTCTCGCTGGAAATGGGTTCCCAGTGATGACAGCCAGGCCTTGCTTGATTGGAATCACTGGAACGGGATCCCAGTGATGACAATGAGGCCGTTCCTTGCTGGAATGGGGTCACAGTTTGCCGTGCCCTGACGACAGCCAGTCCTCTCTGGAATGGGATTGATTTCTTTAGTGTTTGATTTACGATCTATTTAATGAAAAGACAAAGCGTGGAGTGTTAGGAGTCGCAGTGTAACCGGAAGGGTGTCTTTCAGTCTAAATACAGCTACAATGACCGTACGTTGTATTCGGGGCACGGAGGTAGCAGCCATTTCCCTTTGCCTGGTGGTGATAAGGAGGAGAGGAGAGTTCAAGCGGATGGGATGATACTGCCACCTGTCACTTAGAGGTTGCCATTCTGCATAGGCCCCGGCTCTCCCTATCTAGGATCATACTTGTGCGCTGGCAGGTGAAGTATGTGGCTGTAGATCCAGGTGCAGTCATAGGTCCAGAGTTCTGTACCACATAGCTGTCGTCGGTTCCAAACGTACCTCATAGCCATTGGTTTGTAGAACCACCATTTTCACCCGAATAGAACACCCGGTCATTATCACTGTAGTACACGGCCCCAGCCTTGCAGAAAGCTTCTGTCGCCACAAGCAAAACTCGGAGGCGCTGCGCGGCGTGGGGCGCCGTTGAAAAACAAAATCGGCGGCTGCCGAAGTGGTGCGGGTTTCATGCTGACACCCACGGGCCGATATGTGGTGTTTTGGTGCTTTAAAGTTGCCCTAAATACAGCTATAATGACTGGGAGTTCTATTCGGGTGAAGACGGTAGTGTGCTCGAGCCAAACTTCTGTACCACATAGAAGTTATTTCCAAATTTCTGTTCCTCGTAGCCGCTCGTTCCTAGAACTAGAACCAGTCTGCTCAAGCTAGACTGTTTGCCCTGACACAACATAACTGGTGTATCGAGGTCTCAGGTCTGTTGCACTAACTGGTGTACTGAGAACCGGGCTGTCCTAACTGTTTTGTCTACAATCTTACTGGTAGGTAATTGTAATTCACCTGTGGCGCTGTGCACGGGAACATGCGAGATGCCGGCTGGCACACTGCAGAGTTTGTGATAGTTTATCTGCATGGATTAGGCATTGTCACCAGCGACCAGCGCACCGCATGTTGCAGCAGTGAACATCCATCGGCTTACCCCCACTTTTGGCCCTGCTCACTTCACCTCTGCCTCAGCCTCTGCCTTTGTATGTCATCCTGTTCATCAAGCGCAACTGGTCTGTCCATCAGGTGGAGTGCACAATTGCTGGGGCATGGATCCGACTGACCGACAGGGTTCACGGTATGAATCTAGCCTGCATGAATGATATGATTCAGAAGGGATTGGCTTGTGGCAGATATCCAGTCTTCCTCTGGCTCTACTGATCCATCCATTCATCTTAGTTCCTCGAAGTCGTCTATACTTTTAACAAGTCGCACATTTGCTAGACTGTTTGCGGCTATAGTGCATACACAAGGGAATGGTATCAGGAGGGTTATATAATCCGGGGCTTGGCGACTCTCTTCTCTCCTCCCTGTCCATTCGTCCATTGATCCATCTTACAATCCATCTGACAATCGATGCAACTGTCCATTCACATTCTTCCACACAGTTGTCCCTCCTGCCCCATTGGATTTTGGATACCATGGAGCATATGCATCGTGAAAGCTGATATGCATCTTTCTTTCGTGGCTTCAACTCATCATCTGAGTGTGTGGTGCTAACAAGCGGCATTTTGAGTTCGTCAAATCCCTGTTAAATCCAATTCTTCATGTTTACGTTTCTGAATTCGTCCTGTTCTGCTCACAGTCTTCATGGTTCACAAGTGTTGCATTGAAACGAGAAGTACTCATTCCCAACTGCCCAACTCCTTACCCCTCCTCCTCCCCCGGCCATCACCTCCAACCCCCATTAGCAACATCCCAACCCCCCCCCCTCCACCACCCCGACCCCCATTAGCAACACTTCCAACCCCCATCAGCCACATCTCCAACTCACGCTGCGAAATGCACCCCCCATTTCTGCTGACAAACACATCAAATACCTCCATAGTTCTCTGTGCCACTTTTTTGTCCTTGGGTTTTGGGGCTCCCACATGTTGGTCCTGACATGCATGATGGCGATGCTTCTGTTTTTCTCTGTCTCATACTCCGATGATTGGATTCTGTTTTTCTCTGTCTCATACTCCGATGATTGGATTCTGCTTCATCCACTGCTTCTACCGATGTGTCTGCTGCTTCTGCTGCTGCTGCTGCTGGTTTATTTGTTGGAACTGTCGGCGCTCGTTTATCACACAACAGTGAAATCATCAGTGCTTGGGGACAGGACGGAGAGGATGGCGAGCTCAAAGGTGGTGGTGTAGAAATTGAGGTTCTTATGTTGCTAGAAGGGCTGCCTATGCCAGAGGACATGCCAGCCCGTCAAACTGTCTATGTGACGCCGTCGGTTATGCGTAAGCTCTCAGGAGTTGAAAGCGCTGAAGGAGTGGAGATGGTTGCCATCCTCAGAAAACCTGCTAGTTTTACAGCCTTTGGACCTGCCACAATAAGCAGCTTCGACAAGGCTGAACGATGGTGCCCCTCTGCGAACCGCCTCCTCGCACTTGATGGCGTGCAGGACCCTGGGAACCTGGGCACGTTGCTTCGGACAGCGGCCGCCCTAGGGTGGGATGGGGTGTTCTTGCTCCCTGGCTGCTGCGACCCCTTCAACGAAAAGGCGATCCGCGCATCAAGAGGTGCCGCTTTCCATATTCCCGTTGCCGTCGGGGACTGGTCCCAGCTCCGTGCCATGCTCTCCAGGAGGCGAGTCGCCTGTTACAGCGGGGAGCCTCACCAGCCATTGACGTCATCATCGATGAGGTCTTCTCCGGATGCCATGCGGAAGAAGATAGACAGGGCCTCTCTTGAGGACTGTGTTTGCCTTATCCTTGGGAGTGAGGGGCAAGGGTTGTCTCAAGAGGCAAGGGAAGTCTCACAGCCCCTTGCGGTGCCAATGGAAGGCCACTTAGAGTCTCTCAATGTGGCTGTTGCGGGAGGAATACTCATGTACCTCCTGAAGGGATGGGCAAAGCACCCCAGATCACAAGAGATGGGAGGAAGGATAAGACAATCACACAGCCAAAAACTCTAGGCCTCTCTCGTTCTCTCTCTCTCTCTCACTCTCTCTTGTAGGGTTGTTGTCACTGCTCTCTTATTTCAACACACATTGTTGTAGAGAAATTAAAGCTGTTTTGTTTTAAGAGGCTTCATACATGATGGCTGCGGTTTTGTTCTTCACTTCTCTCGTTCCGTTGGCACGCATACGCAGTGGTCAAACCGGTCTGTGTGGATGGATTGTTGTCTTCATCTACGTAGCTTGGTGTGCTGTTTGCTGCATGTGTGTAGTTACGTCAGAGATCAGTTGCTAGGCTTCCTCTCCTCTTTTCTCTTCCGCTCTACTGTTCTTCCTAGCATCCTTTGCTTTCTTGCTCTTTTCCCTTGTCTCTTTCCTTCTTCGTTTTTGTTTTTCTCCCTTCCTTTCTCTCCTCTCGTCGCTCTTCTCCCCTCTTCTTTCCTCATCCATATCTGGCCCATTCTCCCTCCCTTTCACGCTTCTATCTATTGTGGCCCTCGATTCTTTCTTCTTTCATCTGTTTCTGTTTCTCCATTTCTTCGTCCCTTGGTTTCTCTCCTCTTCTTGCCCTTCCGTCATCTCCTCTTCATCCTCTCTTCCTCTCCTCCTCTCCTCCTATCTTCCTCTCCTCCTCTCGTCCTCTCCTCCTCTCCTCCTCTCCTCTCTTATCTGCTGTTCTCCTCCTCGCTTCCTCTCCTGTTCTTCTGTTCACCTGCTCTCCTCCTTTCCTCCTCTAGGTATGTAGGTTTGTTCCAGCTGCTTGCATTCCTGTGTCCTGAAAAGGGAGGCAAGGGGGGTCTTGGCTGGACGGAGGGACACCATCTTGTCACTTAAACCACAGCTTCAGACTTTCCTGGATGTATCCAGGACAGATCTGGTACTCAGAAGTAAGTTAAAGTTCAAGTATGATGCCAATAGCCTCGGGATTTTCCAAAACAGTGTTTTATCAGCAAGTTCCCCCCTCCCTCCCTCCCTTTCCTCCCTTCCCAAGCCGGGTTTCTTGAGGTCAGAGTAACTCACTAAAGCTATAAATAACTGTCCTCACCCGAATAGAACACCCAGTCATTATTGCCTTATCTAATGACCGGGCATTCTATTCAGGTGACGTTCGTGAAGACGGGACTAGAAATGAATGGATCCCTTGAAGTCAACGACCACTTAAACCAGAAATATTCGTTCAATTGCTTGATGCGAAACGGCAACAGAGCACAATGAGAAAACGTAAACCGAATATTTTCTCATCATGATGGCTGAACACCGCCTGGGGGCCAAAGTTAACCATAAGTTGGAACATACTACAAGTAGCCAACTGCTTGTGACTCTCATTCCACCCATCTCAGATGGATGACACACTATCGAGGCAGTAATGTTGAGTAACTTATGATGTTGAGTAACTTACTCAGCAGATGACAGGTGTACAACAGCTACCATCTGTTGTACTCCTGTTACCTGTTGTAAACCTGTCATCATCCCTTGTACACGTGCCACCTGTGTTTTACACGTGTCATCTGCTTTCGCACACCTGCACGTCAGAGTCTTACTCAACGAATGACAGCTGTACAACACCTGTCATCCGTAGCACACCTGTTATCGTCTTTTTTTTTTTTTTTTTTTTTAATTTTAAACAAAGAAGGTTTTCATTGTATTCCAAAACTTTGAGGCCGGGGACCTCACAATCCGACCCGGGGTTATCCCTGGGACCACTTCCCAGTTTAGCTTACGAGCAACAGCTCCCCACTGAGTTCCTAAAACCCTGATCATTTCGTCTGTACCCTAACTGCCTCCTTGTATGGGCTGTCGGCTATCCTTGAAGCTCTAGAGCTTTGAGGCAGCCCCAAAGCGCTGTTCCTGCTTGCTAAACCCTAAACCCCTTTGGCCGTTTTGAAAGTACCTAAGTCTGCTGCTTAAACCCTAATCCTTGGCTTCTACTTTCTCTTGTACACCAGTCATCTGCTTTTGCACACCTCTCATCTGTTGTACGCTTGTCGTCTGCTTTTTGTACACCTCTCATCTGCTTTTGAAAAGGGTTGGGGGGTGTTGGGAATATGACCCAAATATGACCCAGGGAGGAAGTCCGGCAGGGGGCTTCACGTGCCGGGTTCAGCCCGCCTGTCGGCACAGCGGGCCCACCAACTAACTCAGACATCACTCAAGATCAGGACTCACAGGGAAGGGGGAGAGGAGAGGTCTGGTTTTGTACGCCTGTCATCTGCTTTCGTACGACAGCCAACGTTATCGATACGCTCATGACAGTTGCATACACAACAGAAAGCCAAGTAGAGACAATGCTGAAAGCTGCCGTGCCATTCGTTCATGTGAACTATGAAAGGGTAATGAGACTCAGGATGTACCACCTCGGTTGCAAATGTCAAGTCTGTCACCAACGACAAATGTCACCCTGGATACAAAATCCACCATTTAGGAAAATTTGAAACTGCACTGCAGAAAATAAAAAGGAAACGACACTCCACAAAGCAAAAGAACCCACCCCCACAAAGTACAAGAACTAAGTAAATCATTGAAAAAGTGATGGAAAAACTTAAAATGCAGGCACCCTGCATATACTGCACGCTGTCTCCACCTTGGCCCCGTCAACAAACAATCAAAGTAAGTAAATGAACCTTGATGAAGCAATCATTGCACCACATGGTTCTGCACCGTCTCGTCTGCAGAATAGATACAGCTAGACAATTTCATGTGGCGTGCCCCGATGCATGCAAAAACTGCCTTCCACCTCCATCTTGCATGATCTGGTCCACAAAAGTGCATGAACTGTCGTGAAGTAATCATCGAACCCAGTTTCCTCTTTGCCTATTCTGCATAGTCTATGCAACCATGGAGTGCCATGTGGCATGTTGGTGAATGTATCTGTGCCTGCTGCTGGAGTGCTCTGGTGTCAATCATGGGCCCTTCTCAGTGCAAGGGTAGCAGCACGAACACGATTCTACTGCTCCTTCCCGAGATGTGTTCATGTCTCTTCATGCCCGAAGAGACCTTTGGCTAAGTGAAGTCAGGTGAAACCAACAAGAAGTACGGCCGCTAACATGCCCTAGCCAGTGACCGAGCTGTCTGGGATCCTCAGAGAGCTTACGCAATGCATCTCCTAGGCTTGTTTCAGTAATGAGACAGAAAGAAAGCGGCAAGCCACTCACTTTGCGTCCACTTTTTCAATTCTGATTGGATTGCTGGATTGGTCGATATTGAAAGCTTTCTGTTACACATGTATGGTCAGCAGTTGTGAAGCAGCGAGGTTTGAACTCTTATATGCATGCACACGATGGGCAAGGTGCATCCACGAACGCAAAGCAAGATCGAATTTAAGGGCATACTCACACTAGGACTTTCCTGGATGTAATAAGACCGCTTTTCCGACCTCGTGTGAATGCATCTGACTGCAATTATGTCCATAAAGAAGTGGAAAAAGTCCTAATGTGACTATGCTTTTATTTTGAATACAAGCCATGGCTTTTATTTTGAACAGCAGAGTAAGACCGCTTTTCGGACCTCGTGTGAATGCATCTGACTGCAATTATGTCCAT